GCTGGAATACTGAACACATTGCGCTTTCAAAATTGTCACTACATCGGAAAGAGTATTGGAGAGAAGTACACTGGATTGCTATAAAATATATAAAAAAGAATTAGTTTAATAAAATCTTGTTTAATTTTGAAGATATGTGTGTGTATGTGTGTACCTTTTCATGATTTCTTTCTTCCATTGCAATTCTTGAATAACAATCTAATAAATAAGTAAAACTTTTCGGTTCTGATGAATTGTCGCCTGGTATTGGTATCATCGGTATTTGACAAGATGAAGAAGCCGCCACAAAACGTAACAAAACACTCGGTTGACTATTGGAACTGTCTTCATGGCCAGATGACACGTCTATCAAAGGATCTTCCCCTCTCGAAAACATGCACAAAACCTCCTGCAATACCTGATGAATAATATCGCTATATGCTTCCCTTTATAGGGCTTTTCCACGATACGCATAAGACACGTGATATGATAACGCTTGCAAAATCGACTTGCATCTTCATCACCTGATGTTTCAAAGCGAGCAATGCTTTCAATTGCTTTGAACGACTTTCTATCTCCGTAAGTGTGTTGCACTTCGCCCACGATTGCAAATCACTGGAGCCTTTTTCATGTATCATTGCATTTCGTTCTGCTATCTGCAAATTCTTTGTCTTCTTCTCCAATCTAGAGAACATACGTTAAATAAAAATGTTAGTCATATTCATTAAATCACAAACATATATCATTTATTTCCGTTAGTAGAATAACTATCTCCAATATAAATACATTTACTGTTCTAAACATTTTACTTTTAACTCTCAGTGTTTTTGAAAATGCTCGCTAAGATTTCTATGAGCTATTACATCAGAGCACGATTTTACAGTGGCAGCTGTTATTCATTATAATTTAGTAAACGATATGCGCACCCGATTAAGTCTAGTTACATAACATATCTTCTCAACTTTCAGAACACATATATATTTACTAAATAAAAATAAATTAAAATACCATTTTAATTACTTCAAGATTCTTGTACTAATATCTGTTACTTTTTAATTCTTGTACTAATATCTATGTTACTTTTTAATAAATAGCATAGGCTCTATAGCATTGAAATCCGAACGTTACTACCGCAGTGCACTTATTTTCATTAAACAACGGTACACATCTATCATGCATCCAACAAGCGACCCAATTCATGCTTAAGCACAAAACGGAATGAAAATTCTTACATCGAGTTATTTCTATATAGAAATTCATACTCTAGACAGACACAATGATTCTCAAAATATCACAAACCAATATCTATCAATATTAATATAATTTTTATTAATGCCATTTGACTTTCCTACTCATTTCACAAGTAAAGAAACAATGTGAAAAAATACTATACAGTATCACTTACTTGTTCTTGAGATCTTCGTTATCATCCCGCAAGCGTTTGATATTGAGCTCGAGCGTGACGCGTTTCGTGTCCGCCTCGTCGAGCAGCTTCAGTTTGTTAGAGAGTACGGCCTCGATGTTGGACATTTCCCAAGTGAAAGTTTCCTGGATGGTTTGCACCTCCCGCTTCAACCGCGAGTTCTCTGATTCGAGAT